TCCTGACAACTAAGCCTTCTCCAAGGGGTAACTGTACATAATTTAAAGAGTACCACATGTTGACTTACTAACTAAAAGATGAGGATGAATATATACATAAATAGTGCTAGTTTAGTTTAGTTTAGATTTTGATTGCACAGGTTTTGACCTCAAGCTTTTAATATACATGTTTTTTTTTTTTTTTTTTTTTTTTTGTGTGTGTGTGTGTGTGTGTGGTGTGTGTGTGTGTGTGTGTGTGTGTGTGTGTGTGTGTGTGTGTGTGTGTGTGTGTGTGTGTGTGTGTGTGTGTGTGAGTGTGTGAGAGTCTTAAGTGTATATTTTTTTTATACTTTTAAACTGAGGATTAGTAATGATAGTTGTTTGTAATCATTCAGTAAGATTTGACATCTTTGTCCTATGTCTGATTTGGAGAAAAACAGTGCTTTCCCAACATATTTTTTGCAAAATACTTATATTCATGTTCCAGTGTAGTAGTAAAAGTTTCAAAAATTTCAAAGGCAGAAAAAATATTCTATATGAAGATGCTGATAGATGTGGTGATAAATATTTATGTATGTGAAAAAAAATACTTGTAAGAGAGATATAGTACATGAATGTTTTCACCCATTTATTCTTTACATCTCATGATGAACAGAGAAAAATGTTCTAATTGCAATAGAAAGTAAAGCAGCTGTTTTACTACTATTCAGCAATGTCAATATATATCAGTAAGCTACACCATCATCAAATGTTTTTACCCCACCCTATCCCTGGTCTGCTGCCTTACTATCTCTATATTGCCTTTGTCTTTCTTGTAACCCATTTATTTAGATGTAACTATATCTGGTGCTAGGCAGCAGCATAATAATTAAATATTGGCAGGCAGTGTGACACTCATTTCCAACACAAGCAGTTAAAAAAATTGTCAAGCAATTTGACAGCTATTAAAAACTGTTGCATAATTTTGTGCTTCACCCAGAACTTTCTGTACAAAGATTGAGCAAAGTCAGTGTTAATGTTTGCAGAGCAAAATAAATATACTAGTTGATGATTAGCTGTGCTACATGTCAAAAGTCATAGCATTTCAGGACAGTATGGCACTGAATGTAGCAAAGAGAGGTGAAGGTAGAGAGGATGAGTAAATGGTCTACGGTAGGGATTAACGTGGGTGATTAGATCAAAGTTGTCATCAAAGGAGGAAGTGAAGGTTTCTGGAAGCATGTCCATAGGGTTAGGTAGGGATAAGCAAAAGGCGAAAGGGGTTTACGGGTAATCAGATCAGAGTTTCAGAAGAAATGTCAGGAGGAACAGAAACCAGGGAAGAGGGTTGTTGTAACATAAGGGAGTCATATATGTATCCAGGGAGAAGTGGAAGGGATAATGGGGAAGGAAGGGAGGGTGATGAAGCTGAAGCTGGGGGGAATGGGATATGTTGGGAAAGAGTGGGAGGAAGGAGTGTACTGGGAACACGAATAGGAGGAGGATGGATGTTGACAGTTGCTTTGAGTGTAGAGGGAATGGAGGCAGAAAGATTGGAGGATGGATGAGGTGTGGGTATATCATCTTGGGTCATGATACGATAGTTTTGAATGTCTGAGAGTTTCTGAAGTAGAGTTGGTTGAGGAGGTCTGAGAAATAAGTTTTCCTCTTAAGGGGAGAAGAGATGGGGATATGAATAGTAAAGGTAGAGATAGGTGGAAGTGAGAGTGTGGTAGGAGAAATTGGAGTGCAACATTTAGATTGTCTGCTAAGGGTAGAGTGAGGAAGAGGGGTAGGTGTCAGGGCAGTGGTAGAGATTGGGGTATTTGGATTTAGAACTGCAAGAGGAAGGGGGTAGAAGTGAAAATGTGAGATGGAGGAAAAATAGATACAGGGAGGATGTAGAAACAGCTTGGCTTAGGGGTGGCTTAGATGGTAACATTCTGACACTGGTAGGGGGGAGATTGAAATGATCAGACAGGGAGGGACTCCGACTCCACCAATATAAACATCATGGGGGAGATGACTTAAAGTAATCTTGGCAATACTGGTAGAGGTCTTATGGTGGCCTCTGGGGGCAATGATGTAGTATTGTACTGATGCTGCATCTTAGTCCATAAGACAGGGAAGGAAGTCTTCTCCATAATCTGATCAATCCACGTCAAAGACAAGGCAGTTTGTCAGGGAGATGGAGACAATTCCATTATAAGTATTGAGAGAGGATGAGGCTGGACAGGAATGTGTTTGCCAGTGAAATCATTCAGGGTTAATAATGCTTTAGCTTGGGATTTGGATGTAACTGTGACAAGGTAGGAACAGTTGGGTGGCTACAGAGGGAAACTTTGCCTGCTTTCTTTGGTGCTATTGTTGGAAGAGGAGTGTGTTGTCAAGGTATGAGGCTGTAGAGGGGAGTACAAAAAATTGATCCCTTTTAGGCTGGGCTAAACAAAATACTCAAATGATTTGTAGAGGTGGGGATAATAGGAGGATGGGGCCTTGTGGAAGGGGGGGGGGTGCTGAGTGAAGTAGTACTGTGGACAGTAGGCGCTGATGAGAGGATAGTAGTAGTGTTCAATGTTCATGGTCAAAGGAGAGCCTGGGATCAGGGAACCAGGGGAATTCAAATCAGTAGTTGATAAAGGGGCAAGTCTCATTATCCCAAATAAAAGTATAAGATTATCACCATGGTAAGCCTGGCCTATGATGGGAGAGATATGATCCACCCCCATGGTCGTCTTGAAGGGTAAGAGCTAGACAACTAAACTAAACCTTGCCCATGGCTCCCCTAGGCTTTTTTATGACAGGTACAAAGTCAGCCTTTCATCCTTTCAAAATGACTCACACACCTTTAGAAGTGGATAGCAGAAGGGGTTGGAGATGAGAAAGAAAATGAGAAGGGAAGAAGAGAAGAAGCAAGATTAAGTCAGTTGAGTGCTGTGATTCCTGGTACTGAGCCTCGGTCTTTGTCTCCTACATCCGTCACAGCAACAGGCATGGGATTGAGGGGAGAACAAAGCCAATTTTTTTTTGTATGTGTAGGAAGAAGACAATCATTTTGTGATGGAGGGACCATTAGAGGCATGGCAAGACTTGTCAAACACAGAAACTCAAAATTTTAGTTAAGCTGTGATCAGTCACATCCTTTTTGTAGTTTGCACTTTAGATGGGGCTTAATTTGGATAATACATTTTCTGTATAGTGACCAGATACTGGAAAAGTGTAACTGTGAGTGGTTATATTCATGATGTGAGCTGGGGGTAATGGAAAAAGAAATTACCATTTCAATCTCCAAAAGTGGTAAAGTTCATCTTTTCAGGCAAAGTAGTATATTTAGATACAAAACATTTTTTCAGTATAGTGACATTCCAAAGGCAGGATAGTTTTCTTTTAGTTTTGGAAAGGTGTGGCCACTCGTTTTCACCTGAAACAGCTTAGTGTATCAGTGCCTTTTATTACCAAGGATCAAAAAATGTTCTTAAACTGAATTTTTGGACTAAGAAATATTTGATTCTTAATAGTTTCTCAATGGATGTGTTTATGTAGTTCTATATAATCATATGCAATCAGTTCATGTTTCATCAGTCTGTGTCTGATAACAAAAGTAGCTTAAAGCAAATTATCACACCCAATATTCTAACTAAAATAACTTAGATGACATGCCTTTCACTGTCAGTTTTGCTGGGTACCCAGCCATGTCGGAATCCCTGGCAATGAACAGGCAGATACTCTTGCACGCTATGCCGCAATGTCCACATCACCTCAACTACACTTCTCACATATTCCAGCTACGGATTATTACCCTCACTTTAAAACCTTCTTGTATACCCGATCGCAATCTTTCTGGTCAAGCCTCCACAATAATAAATTACATACTGTAAAACCACCAATCTCCTCTTGGTCAGCTCCATTTCGCAGGAACAGACGTTGGGCCTTCACACGCTTACGTATTAGCCACACTCGCCTAACACATGCCTATCCAATGTCACGCTCTGACCCGCCCCTATGTCCTCTATGTAATGTCCCTCTTTCAGTTCCACACATTTTCTTGTCCTATCCACACTTTAATACAGCATGTACCTCTGCCTTTCCACACCTATCCTCCCTTCACCAACCTCCCAACATACCAGACATCCTTACAGAATCCCACAGCTTCTGCCTTGACAACCTGTTCTTCTTCCTCAGATGCATAAATATCCTTCACTTGATCTAACTCCCTTACCTAAACCACCATAACCTTTTCCCTCATCAACCCTTACCCATCTTCAACCTTTCAACACTACTCTAGATAGTTGACATATAGCAACTATCACCTGACATCCCCCTTTACTATACCTTCCTATAGTGCTATATGACCTTAGATGTCTAGCACATTTATTTCGCTTTTAACCGTTAACCATTAACCATTCACTATCAGTTGCTGGAACTTGTGTATGGTCAGTCCAGTTGCAATACTTGAAGTCCATTGTATCACTGTAAATAAAATGAATGTATTCCAGAAATTTCCATATACTGTGAGTTATGTTTTCAAGGAGTTTAGAGTAGGATTACAGGTTCTGGTGTATCTGGTACTTAGGTGAAGGAATAGAAGTATGTGTTGTTTATGTGCACAATAATTTTAGCTGATTGACATACTTACATGCCTTCAGGGAAAGCTAGTATTTCCAAAAGAATAGGATTTTTATAATGCATATTCATGCCCTTTTGGTGTATGTTTGTGTGGATGTAATGTATTTTGTTACTTTGGGGTAATGATAATCTCTTTAAAATAAAATAGAGAGAACAAAAAAGTAGGGAAAATTTTACATGTCTATAAATTTCCCCCCACTATTCCTACAGAAATGTTCATATACAGGCTGTTTGTGCTTGTGCCGTATGACTAATTTTTTTAGTTTACTAAGTGGAGTTCTATTTTTCTTGTTGGTGTTTGCCCTCACTATAAGGCAGTTAAGTGATAATTCTTTCAGAACAATTAACAAATACTGAAAAATTGTCTTGTTGATTAAAAAATGTAAAAATGAAGCATACATAGAGATGGAAAGAAT